CTTTAAAAGTGTATTGTATCTTATAAATTTACTAAAATACCCTTAATAAAACTATTTCTTATATTATTTTATTAAGGATATTTTAATAAATTTATAGGAGAGATTGTTCTATTGATATATAATCCATACCATTGCTTTCAAAATCGAACCGGAGGTCAAACCATTTTGACCTTTGGTTCATGGTTTTGATGGTTGAATCAGTTTGACTGGTTAAAAATCGAGTTGATTGAATTTTGAAAATATATGTTAAATACAGTATAATGCAACATATTTCCAAAAGTTAGAAGGAGCCCTTATTTGTTTCATATAGAACTTGAGTTCGAGTACCAACTATGGCAACTTTATTCATTTATGTAATCTATTGCAATAAATAAATCTTAAAGCACCATGACTCAATGAACTAGGTCCAGATCAAGTGGCAGAAGTTGTTCCAAAGCAATTTCAGGGTTTTCCTTCAGTCTTTTTAACATTCTTTAAAATGCAGTCTTTGTACAAAGGATACCATTGCTTTGGTAGCAAAGGAGTTGTCAAAAGTTGAGGAGGTCTCGTGTTTGAAACCCACCAACAGCAATAAGCCTCCCAAAATTTGTCCCCAATGGTTGGCCTGGCTGGTTTGATGGTTCATCGGTTCTTATTGGTTTAGGCGTGTTAAATGATTTTAAATGGTTTAATCGCTTAAAGGGTTTTAAAAATCAACTCGACTCATTTTTACTACCGAGTACCGATCAAACCGATTCAACCGACTTATTCAGTCCGATTTTCAAAACAATGATCCAAACTATATTACATGAATCCCTATATATTTATTTATTTTTGGTATACAGGAAGCCATCATTGGAGATTAAGCTTTAAAGTGGGTTTTAAACTCTCTTACCGTTAGCTATTTATTTGAGATTTTATAAGTATTTTTAAGAAATTTATTAAAAATCTTAAAGAGATTTATTGAAAATTTTAAAAGACTTATCAGATATTTATTCAAGATTTATCAATGATTTTAACAATTGTTATGATATAATAACATAAAATATAAATTTTTAGATAGATTCCCACCAAAACAATTTAAGAATACAACATACTATTCGTTAACCTGCAATATTTATTTAGTCCTTTCACATGCATGACAATTGAATATATATTGCCATTTACCCATAAAGAAAAAATAATGTCCCATAACCCACAATTTGTATCTAAAAAGGTGTCCTGCAACTATTACCAAACAGGAATATATATATATATATAGGTAACATACATGAAACCCATGTGCACTTCGAATAAGACTTTTTTACTTTTATAAGTTGAACCATGTTTATAACAGCAAGAGAGTAACAAAGAATAATGAGGTAAAAGTGGTTATGTGACTCACATAATGAAATGTAGTCGAATACTGCATTTTAGTCTAATTATAACAATAATATAAAGTATGTTGAGGAGCTTTAGGGTTTCACAAACAATCAATGGAAGGGCTTCCAGGGGGGTTATGTGCAAAAGAAAGCTCCTTTACCTATACTCCATAAGCATTTTACCCCCCTTTTTGGAGTATAACTCTCATCCAAAGTATGTATAAACCATCTCATGCTTTGATAGCCTTTGTCCCTTTTAACCTCTACTAGGCTCTACTTTTATTGCTCTCATATTTGATTGATTGAAATCCTTAAGCTAGTTTATAGTAAGAGTAGTGGAATTTTGAATAGCTAATTAACCTATCTTTTAATCAATGTTTGTTAGTTTGATTGTCTGTTAAATTTGACCTTTTCCTTTGAGTGACTTGCTGCTTTCCAACTCCATGAGAGAAATCCTTTGCCTTAAACAGGTACTATGGCGTGAGGATATGGAGTTGAGGCTTTTACTTTGATTAATTCTCAAGGCTATATATGTTGTGGTTCGTGGTGTGCAGGTTATGTTTAGTTCACACACACTTTTGGAAGTTATAATTGAAGTAATTTTGATAGCAACTTTGATCTTTTTCCAAATACTTAGGTAGTCTTGTTAGATATCCATTTGAGTTAATCAACATGCTTTCTTTTTTAATTCACGCTTGAATTGCTAGAGAGTAGCAATAAGCTGGTTGGGGGTTGTGATGAAAGCATGAAAATGTATATTTAAAGTGTGTTTAACCATTAGCATTTGTGGAATT